AAACTAAACTAAACTAAACTAAACTAAACTAAACTAAACTAAACTGGAAAAAAGTTACAAGTTAACAAATGTATCAACTGATGTTATCCCCGCCGGGGTCTTTCTGCATTGAATCTGTGTGTAGGGCTTTTGCTTCTCTACTTAAGTGTTCTCTCACAGTGTAAACTCATACAAGAGGTTAAGTGGCCATTATACATTATTGGCAGATATGATGGTGTGTGTCTATGGATGTCTGTCCTATGTGTCTCTCTCTATCACTCTGACATAAATAAATTAGTTTCAAATGTCATTAAGGGGCCAATGCTGTCCTTCACAACAACTAAAGACTCACAACTGTCTACAAAGACCTCAAAGCCCCTTTTCTCACTAATGCAGAAAAAATAAGACCCATCCAGACATATTAAGGACTTTTAAAAGCAAAGCAAACAAAAGCATTCAAAAATAGTTACATTTTCTAAAACTTCACACTGTAGGTCCCTTTCTATTAATCGTCAAAATTGTGCAAATTGTAATTATGAAAACAAATTCATTTTGCAATAATGACTGGGATGATCACTAGGGCTTGGGGTGAAATATGGATATATCTCACGCATTTACATCTTCAGCTGCCTTGTTATTTTACTGCAAATGTGAAAATGTTCATTTAACAATGATTAGAATGTCAATATAATTTTGTGTACATTTGTAATGGAAACAACTTGTGATGTGGCAATACTTTGACAACATTACTGTAACTGTATAATATTAAGGTCAGTTTCAACATGGGCAATGATTGCATTTCATTTGGCCTCTCTCACCTTCAAGTTCTCCAGTCTTTCTTTTAATGTCTGTAGTGTCTTTCCAGTCTGTTCTGGGGAAAATGAGCTGTGTTTGCTGTATGAGGAGCCCTTCCGGTGGTGGATGTCTGCCCTGTGGTTGTCATGGGAGGAATGATGATCAATGCCATGATGTGCTGAGGGTCCATGGTGCAATGAAGATGGCCCGTGATGGCTACCATGATGACCGTGGTGCTCATCATGATGGCTGTTATGACTGTCAAGATGGCCAGTATGGTGGGTATCATGTTTATTGTCAAGGTTATCATGGTGGTTTTCATGATGTCCAATGCTATGGTGACCACCAAAGCCTTCACACAAGGTGAGTTTGGCAGTCAGCTCTCTGATGGTCTCCCGCTGGTCCAGGATGGTTTCCTTCTGCCTTACAAGGCTCTCGCGAAGGTGCAAAATGGTGGCTTTTGCCTCATCTGACATTATGCCTCGATGGCTGCCACCACTGTGGTCACTCCCATGACTGCTACTGCTTGGACCATGGGGCACAGAGGGTGGTGAATAACAGCTGGGATCTGCTTCTGGAGGAATAGGAGTACAGACAAATTTGGGACTAATGCCATAGTCATATTCTATGGTGCCCACAGCAGCAGCACATGACAAAAAATAATAAAAAATCAAAGTTCGTATGGGAAAAAGAGGATAGATTAAACCGTGAGGTAGTCCGACTCTTTGCTCATACTTGACAGGTGAAGGCATGAGTCTTGCATGGCTGCTTTCTCTGCCCATGTTTCGTTAAAACAAAAACAGCTCCTTGACCAATAACGATGTCCCCAAGAATTAGCTTTACCTCTGAGAACACCATGGATGAAGATCATTTGTGATGGATGTGGGTGCTTTGAAGCATATCATTTCAACACATTCACTTCTTGCATAATCTTTTCTGGGATAGCGTAAGAATTATAAAGTAATAAAAAAAACTTAAAAAACAAGGATTTATTCCAGAGACGAGCAAAGGTTGCTGGCAAAATGTTTATCTTTTCACCTTTGAGTTAACCTATTTGAATCAGACAAAGTTTCTTGGCTTCATGGTGAGTTAACAAGCTGTAAGAGCTTGGCTGTTGTATTGTGAAAGGTCCTTCGACCCACTGGAGGATGATGTGCTGGGCCAGTGCCAGACAAGATATCAGTCTTGGCTCCAAGGACTTCCTGTGCATGTCAGCTAAGTGTAATCCATTTAACTTCAGCTCCTACACGTCCATCAGATCCTTCAGGAAACATTTCCTGTTGCACATACAGAGAAAAGAGGAAAAAGAAGTTTGGTCAAACAAACATATAGCACAAAATGTTCAAATTTGAAATGACTTAGAGAAATAATATATTTGAGAAATTTACGGTCAGTTACATAGCCTGACAGTAAAGGAACATTTGAAAATGACTGTGATGGAGTAAGACCAAGTGAATCATCATCATAATCATCATCATCATCATCATCATCATCATCATCATCATCATCATCATCATCATCATCATCATCATCATCATCATCATCATCATTTGTAGAGCACATCCAAACAGCTACAGCTGAAAACAAAGCTGTAGCTTAGAAACACATCAGGATATAACTTAGGAATTCTCAGTTGTATTTGCCTCAACCTATCAGCAATCTTTGTTTAAGAAGCAACTGAATCAGAAAAAGATGTATTGCTGATAAAAGCTGCAACGCTTACTGGAAAACCATCAGCTTAACAACAGCTGAATATTCGTATTGTTTTGATATATTATTCATTTAAAATAGGAACACTGGTATGAAAGAGTAAAAGGATGTCCCTAGAGTGGATTTTTAAATTCATCTTCACAATGTCATATACAAGCCTAAAACTATTTCAAGAGGGGTTTTTTTTATACTTGAAAGTAGACTGGAAAAGTCTAAAACTGACCAGGAGTTTGTACACCAGAATTACTCATAATGCATCAGCACTTCCTGGAACCATAATAGTCACGATTGCTCTTTATTATACCTAGAACGGGTTGGATATATCTTTACTGAACAATTTCAACATCTGACTGCTGTAAGAGCTTTTCTTAAAAAAAAAAAAAAAACAGAAGGTGTTTTTACACCATATCCATCATTATCAGATTGGTTCTGTTTCCTCTGACCCTGACAGTCCTGCCTTGG